ATTACTATTAATTTACTAAGAAGGTATTGATAATAAAGCCACTGAGACACCATTTTACGTTTAAACTGATATAATATCTCATTATAACGCCATAACAGCGACTTTGGCAATATCACCTCTTAAAATATGTCCAAATACAACGTGCCTAGCCCCAACTCTAGGCAACGCCATTTTGGAGTCGCTTCGAATTCACGAATTCACTGCTACCAAATTCGGCCGCCAGCTGTGGTGCCAGGTCGTCATACCAATGTCATCTGACATGCGTTTTGACATACACGGACACAAAGAGGAGACACGCAATGGGAGATGTATATGTGTTAATATTTTTTAGTTAACACTGATTGAGTAGAAACTCCGATTGTTCAAAGCTATACGTTTCTGTCAAATCTTTAGTAACTGCAATCTTAAAGATTTATCGCGCCACCAGAATCACAGCTTTTTCAGCATGAAAGTCTAGAATTCCCAATATTTCATGAAATTTTATTTGTTTTTCTTACAGTTGCAAAAAAGCTTTGTACTTAAATAAATAGTTTTCAAATTTACTATGGTAATACAATCGGGCTCAGTCCAGCCATTTTCTTCTGGATGGGAAGAGTGTCTCGTACGTGAGGCTTATGTCGGAGGGATGTGGGGCAGGTGCAGGTGCGTCTCGCCTCGCTCCACGCCCTATCGGTATGTAATCATACGGAACCTGTAACCGTAAAGAACCTTGTTTTATATATATACTTGACAAGTTGACATTAGTTTGATAATATACTTGATCAATGTTTTTCGCAAAAAAGGGAAGACCGATAATCTGCCCACCCGCAAAAGCTTCAGTTACGACGAGTCATAATTCCCACAGAGAATTATGACTCGTTTTTAGAGACCGTACCCATAGGGTACCCTATTACTAACACCCATTTTCACTAACCTAGAACTAGGCATAGCTTAACTAAGAAACGCTTCGAATCGCCTAAGCAATTAAGTTTAATTGCAGAGATTTTATTTTTGTTATCCCTGGACATATTTATGACCTGCCAAGCGCAAGGCGCCGCATAACGAATATAATAACTAAAGACATTGCTCTATTTCGTTAGGTGGTTCCTAGTCAATAGTGAAATGCTTTTTACCTTAGGCGATCTCTAAATATTTAGGCGACAGATTTTGGTGACTCCTAAGTTTAGTAAAAACGGGCATAAGACTCCGCTGTACGTCTTTCTGTTTGTCTGTCCGTCAGTGTGTCACCAAGCTGTCCCAGATATACTATATATGCTAACATTATAAAGTAAAAAGATTTGATTGTTTGTTTGTAGGTTTGCATCGAATAGGCTCCGAAACTGCTGAACCGATTTTAAAATTCTTTCACCTACAGAAAGGTACATCATAGGAACGTGACATGGGCTATAATTTGCGCGGGTGAAGTCGCAGGAAAACAGTTAGTTTTCTTATATTCTGACGCGCACTACTCGTTAAATAACAATCAGAAGCAGACAGTCGATATTTTCACAGATGATGTACTTGTGTTGCCGCTACAACAAAAACTAAAAACAGAATACAATCAATATTTAAAGAGGGCCCCTTTTATGAGGGCTATTTGTTTTCTTTTAAATAATGCTACAGAACATTTCCTGGCTGACTTGAATTTACCCGGTTTTAGCGTAATATTGTTGCAATTTACCTGAGGTGCAGCAGCTGCCGCCGCAATCAATAATATACAGATGAAATATAATCTCATTTTTCCCCCGTTTCAAGTGTTTCAACGTTCGATCGCTGCATACCATAAAACCATAAATAATTAATAACAAAATCTTAAGGCACGTGGAGTTATATCGGTGTGTAATTTTTAATTTCAATTTTTTTATCTGCAAAAAATTGCCATTGCATGGTTGTTAATTTTTAATATCCAACCTTCTTAGATAATTCAATTGCTAAAAGATTAAGTACGTTGTTTATAGGTTATTCGGTTTTAACAAAACATTAAAAATATCACTTCAAAACCCTCAGATCTTGCGTAATTGCGCCACAAACCAACAAAAATATTTACGAAGTTAAAATAAAATTTAAAAATACTATTTACTGTTAACCTATGTCAATATACCAGTAACAATCACAGAAATAACCTTACGACCAATTCTGCAAAAACTACACTAAATAAAACTGCTTTTGCGTTGAAAACACTGTACTGGTACTGTCAGAGTAAAAAGTGAAAAATATATTGTTTTAATTATGAGGTTCGAATGCTGATGCTTTGAATGGCTGCCGTTACTTCTGGTTACTGGTGATGATTCGTTGTGTTTCTTTCAGTTATAATTGTCGATGAGTAAACATTACCTATGCTTGTAACATTTATACATCCTCGTAATGTTATCATCGATATCTACAGGCAATTCAGCTGCCATTCGATGTCAAAGCTTTGCACAACGCGTACAATTATAATAGAATTTATTAATATTGCTTGTGTCTTCAACAGGGTTACTCTAGCCATAGGACGCGACACCTTAGCGAATATTATGATGATAAAGTTCCTTTAACTACTTTAATATGCCTTTTGGTGGATTTTACGATAAATAACTAACATCTGGTTTCTATATTGCGAAAAGAATTAAATATCAACTGATTATTCTCAATAACTTAAGTTTTTTACGTTTCACAAGTCTAACGATCAGTTGCACAAAGGTTTGATAAAGCCATTAAGCTCTAATGAATGACAAATTAGTCGATTGTCGCTTTAAACTTATGACAATTTTAATGGACGTTTGAGCAATGCTGTTAAAAATTCATACTATTATCAAACTAATGTCAACTGACCATTAAAAAAAACTAAAATTAGAAATGATAACCTGTTTAAGGGACATTTAAGTACAGTTGGAGATGTTCTCAAGTTTAAATTCTCAATACAGAAACCAGGTTTTAGTTGGTAACTGTTATCAAATTCGTATTCATTATTCGTTCTACATTATTAAAGTACATGTCGAAGTAGGTAGTAAAATAAAAGGAAATAGCGCTATAACATTGCTAAGATGTCTTATCCTATGTCTACGAGTTATAGATAGAGGAGTTAAGCCGTCGCTCCGCAGATTAAGCTACATTAGCTAAATACAAGACTATATTTGTCTCATTGTACCCGGCAATTAGATAGATAGGGACAGATGTCGATTTGCGCGTAAAACTACGATATTTTAATTAATAACTCTCAAGCCATTACGATTAAACTGTAAAAGTGTTTTATCAATTTTCTTAATCAAAATAAGAATGTAATTATGAGAAAAAAATTGAATAAAATGTTAACTATTTTTATAAATTTACTATTTGGTTGACGTTATTTTGGTTGAAATTTACGCAAAAAAGAATTGCAATTTAGTATTAATCCAAATTCATATTATACAGAGAATAAACAAACCTACTATCTTCTAGGAGTAAATATTACTTCCGAAGAACCTCGTACTAGGTTAACCATTACCAAGTCTCTGTTTAATAATATGAATTTTGATTAATATTAAGTACAGTTTTAGCGTAAATTTACTCCAACGCCACCTAGTACCAGGTTTAAACTATTATCCGATCAGTGTAAGTCGACACGTCTAAACGAAGTACCGACTTTAGTTTTTGTATCACAATAGGACGGTTACAGTTTTGGTATTGATTGTATTACAGTATTGTGAACGCAATTTTATAGTTACCTATGTGATGTGGCATTATATACATTTCAACATTTCGATTTCTATCAAATTCTAATATGCTTTGAACACGATAGGTATGAATTTCATAAGGGATGTTAAGATTTTTCACGGATTTAACATTTTCTTAACAATATTATTCTATATTTTGCACACTGGAAGTTCTATTGTAAGTATATTAATTGTTTTTGAACACTGTATTTTGCTTCATCGCTAAATACTCCTTCTACACATCCGAGCGAACCAATGGAATGTCTCTTTATATGTCGAATGTCCCGTGACTGCGGCCGCCTAAAATATAGCTCATGTAGGTGAGAGAATGTTTACTGTTTCAGTATTTTCGAAGATTACCCCTTATAAACAATACAAAGTTAGAAATATTATCTATTTATAATAGTATAATTGACGAAGTACATTTTTTAATGTCATTTTAGCCACAACAACCAGAAATAAACGATCAATATGAAAACTCAACACAAATCGATGAAATAGCAACTATTAACGATACTATAGTATACAAACCAAACATCGACGAAAGCAGACAAAATGAAATCACAGAACCAAACGAAGAAGGCTTTATTATGAAAATTTACAATCTAATCACTAAACCGATAATTAAAATCATTTCGATACCCAAAATCAACTCCGTTCTCAGGAATATAGGAACTTGTATCGTAAACGGAGCAATGGAACTGATCACTTATTATTTCCCACCACCATTGATACCGTTGATAGCTACTGCTGCCGGCATGATTATACCGTTCGAACCGGTAGTGTTGTTGAGACAGAAAATGCCTGTGACTAGCTACAGGAGAGCGTTCAGGACAGCATTGGATGGGTTCTTAAATACTTTCGACAGGTACAAAGTAGAAGACGAAGATGATGACCCTTATATGACCAGGAGGTTTAACAGGAGACTTATGGACCATTCTGGAGAAAACAATAAAATTGAAAACTGATTTCAGATAGGTTTTAATAAATTAATTGCGCAAAAAAATTAAGTTATTTATTAAAAATACATTTATAACAACGAAATAAAATGTATAGTTACAACTTAACTATGTTATTTTTAAATATTCTCGTAACTTTTCTTATTCATTAATGAAGATAGATAATACTTTGTATGTGCGGGCTTAGTACTCGTGACCTTATAGCTTCGTAGATGTAATAGGGTTGGCAAAGGGGCACGCGAAAAAATGAGCTGAACTTAAAACGGATCAAGCGAATGAAGAGAGTACCTTGGCGGTCTGTCCTCCATATCCACCAATGAAACGCATACAGTAGCTAGTAATTTAATATGCACAAATTTTGATAATGCTAAATCTTTCTGTTGTTTACTTTTTGTTGAGTTCTCTAAGTAACTACGTATTTCTAATCTAAGCGTGATGTCATCGTCAAAACTCCTATAAAGGGACAGTAGAATGTAGTTTTTGCTATAGTCATAGTTTTGCCAGCATCAGATTGCCTGAGAATTATACTACTCGGCGTCACGGGTTCTAAGGGAATATCTTTTAATCTTTTCGGACGTTTCTTTTTATCATTAACAGTTAATGTATTATTTTCTTTTCCATCGACTGTTGTACTGCTAGCTTCTTTAACTGCAGATATATCAGTTTGATTTCCTTTAACAGTGTCATTACTTCGTAAAGTGAATTTCCTCAAAGGTTCTTCTTCTTCGAAACCACTCCAGTAATGTCTAAAGCCATTCTTGTCAATAAAAACTCTTTTCGACGGAATCGTATTAGTATCTCTTCGAAGCATGACATCTTTAAAGTGATCCGTTATAATATGAGTGGTAGGTTTCAGAATGTTGTATATCTCATTTTTTAATATCACCTCCCCAATTTTCTGTAGGTCTACATGCTCAGGGAAAAGTGGTGATGGCGTGGCGAACTGAAAATAGAACGTATCTTCTTTATTATAAAGGCTTCTTTCCTTGGTAGATAGATGAATTATTAAATTCAAGTTAAGAACATTAATAAAATATTGTTGAAGCAAGCAATCAGACGCCTTTTCATCTTTTCTTAATATTCTCCATGGTCGAATAGCTCGCCGGTTTCAACGTGTTCCCATCTCTGAAGTCCCGAGTTACGTAAACATTTTAAATATTTTAATAATGGGTATGGATGAGGATTCATATCATGATATAATTGAACCAATTACTTGTACAATACAATCGACTAGAAAATTATGGTAACATTTTGATTCCCCTTACAAACATCCACTCTCACGTAGATTAGACAACAATAGGCAGGCCCGTCTTAAGCACAACAGGCGCCCAGGTGCAAGCAGTACTCTGGCGCTCCCCAACACCCTCTTACCGATTTACCGATGATCATCCATGGGTGTGTTGCACCCCCTGCACCATGGGTAAAGACCTGACAGTAGGTGTATAGAACGGTAATACACGATTTAGCACTCTTATGGTGTTGCACAATCGTCCATTAAGGCTTAATGACGCCTTTAAGCTCTAATGGATGTCATATTTGTATCAGTGATATCACTTTAAACTAATGACAATTTTAATGGACGTTTGTGCAACTGGCTGTTAAACAATTTATATAATCTAAAGTAGATTGTTTGTGGATGTTTGTGCATGTTCTTACCTGAACAGTATAAAGCAGAATTGCAAGAAACATTATCAATATCACATCGTGATATCTCACAGAACTAAAAATTCAATCGCCAGACATTTCCAATTAAAATTTTATTGACATTTCCAATCTCTCAAGTTAATTGGATACATTATAACTTTCAAACAAAATTCTTCTGAAACTTTACAGACACTGACCTATTATTAATAATAAATATTTGACAAAACTGCAAAACTCGAGATAATATAGAAAAGTTAATTTTACCGGGTTCCACAGAGATATCTTTTAAATATTTTGAACAAAGTAATTTATACAGAACTATTTTTCAATGAGTACCTATATGTTAGATTTTACGGGTATCATAGAAACGTTACCACGCGCCTAGTTACCTCTAGCCATATTCTTTAATTATAGCAATTATCAAGTATCAAAACAAAGATCTCGAACAGAACATTCCAAATAGCTTCTATACATAATTATGTATAATTAATTGACTAAAAGTAATTAAACCGAAATAAATAATTTAAAAACTATAAACATGAGTGGCAAAATCAAACTAAAAATAAAATAAAAAAAGTTGTATTATGACTTGTCTAAACAATATTCTTATATTAATCGGACATTTGTGATGTAAGAGATCTACCAACTTCAATAAGAATTTTGATTAGTCAAGTTATAATACCACTAGTTTCTTCTATTTGTTTTAGTTCAGTTTTAGTAGTCATGTTTTTAATTGTAACGGTTTACTTAACCTCTATTAACGATAGTTATAATTATAAAATTACTTAAGTCTTAAATATTTGATTCTAATCTAACAGCAGAGAAAAAAGAACAATAAACAAAATAATACGTGTATGTACAAAATAAACTTAACTATCTTATAATCAAATAATATCAACTTAAAAACTGAATATAAAAAAATAAACAAAATATTCTAATAAAAATTAATAATAAATAAATACCAAAGCAAAGTCAAGACAAAGCGCTTGTATGTTAAACCTATTGTTCGTGCTGTTACATCCCTTAGATGTGTACTAAAGTGCATACAACCCCAATAAATCATCGCGTCTGCATTTTCGCCCTGTAGCCGGCGCGCCCGCATCCCGAGCGCGCCAGTCTCATTCTAACCTCCGTGACCGCTGCTAGTTCCACTGGTTCATACTATTTCGTCGTTTTATTTGTATTTTATTTTTTTTTAAACCCTAACGGAGAGGCTCACTCTAACATTTTGGTGGCAGCATAAAGGGATCCAAAAAATAGGATCCTCGGTACGTCTCTACCGATCCGCGCAAGTGAATTACTATTACCTGTGCAGTGCTACTTCAAGATTATTATTTACAAGCCTTGAACTATAATACAAACTCAGTTACCTCGTGTTCCAAAACTTATAGTGCTAATTCAAACTCCCAGAAAAAAAATTACCTGCAAGTGTCGAACTGCTCTACAAACTCGACATCCTAGTGAACTGGTTCCTGAAAAAGAAATTATAATCTAACTAATACCTACTTACCAAAGTGCATAAAATCACAAACAGTGAATCTAAAATAATATCATTCAAACAAAACTGTTCGTGGCGCCAAAATTCCACAAGTGCGTCCCATACTGCGGGCCATCGCCAGCTGCGCCGGCGCCCAAACCACTTCAGCCGTGTACCTGCTACGAAGTGTGTCCCGCAGAAATAAACATTTGTTTTTTGTTGTGTGCTACTTTGTAAGTGACCCTTACTTTTATTTCCTTTTTTGCATTCTGTGTTATTATTGTGTCTTTGTTTCTTTATTTTTGTAAACTTTGCAATAGATAAACTTAAGTAATCTAATTAACAATGGCAATGCCGGCTCCTCACATGAACCCTGCCGTACTTGACTTACCTACGGACACTGAAGACGAAAGGGCCGCCAGCCCAGTCGCAAAAGGCAGCCGGGGCAAAAAGACCCCAGTGCAAACGGAGAATATCGATTTAAATACACTTTTAAAATTTATAAAGCCCTATGATGGGAATAGGGAAACTTTAAATTCATTTGTAATTAATTGCAACAATGCATATGAGCTCGCGAACAACTCGCAGAAATCCATATTATTTAAATATATACTATGTCAATTACAGGGAAAAGCTGAAGTTGCTTGTTCAATAAAAGAATTTCTAAATTGGGAACAATTAAAAGAATTTTTGAAAAATCAATTTAGTGAAAGGAAACATTATTCCCACCTTTTAATGGAATTACAGGAAAGCAAACAGCTTATCTCTGAAAATGTCTCTCAATTTTCATTAAGAATAGAAACAATACTGTCTCAGATCCTCACAGAAATATCGTTGTCAAATACTAAAGTCAAAGAACTCCCCGGGAGAATAGCCGCTATGGAAGAACTAGCCCTCCACCAATTTCTAACAGGATTACAACCACGCATTTCAAACATAACTCGATGTAGATCACCGAGGTCTTAACACTTAACGAAGCGATAAATTTTGCAATATCAGAAGAGCGTATCCAACAAACCCTGTATAAGAGAAACGTCCCCGAAAATAGGCGCGATAATCGTCCAATAAGAACGACAAACCCCACGAGACCGTTTCAGTCAGGAAGGCCACCTGTGCCTACAACTACCTTTTATCCTAACGTGCTAACGTGCCGCTATTGCAAGGCCCCTGGCCATTCAATTGAACAATGCCGAAAAAGAGAATACAATAATAAGCTTCGAAACTCTCAACGGCCCTCTAACTCCGCGCCTATCCGCCATGTTAACTTCAACGAATCAACATCTCAAGGATACGACGAAATCGATAATCAAAATCAAAATTTAAACTAACATCCGTCTCGTTCAGGTGTCGCGCGAGACGCCATGTTAATATAGGCACCAAACCCACTGAATCGAATACTATATCCACTGAATCCACTGAATCGAATGCTACATCCACTGAATCCACTGAATCGAATGCTACATCCACTGAATCCACTGAATCGAATGCTACATCCACTGAATCCTCTGAATCGAATGCTACATCCACTGAATCCACTGAATCGAATACTAAATCCACTGAATCCACTGAATCAAATACTATTCCCGCTGAATCTTGTACAAAAGCTACTAAATCCAACACCGAGCCTCTACAAAATAACGAAACTATTTATACAATATCTTTTGATCCATCGAAGAAATCGTTACCCCATATTGTTGTTAATACAAACGTTTCCAGCTTCCCCTTATCATTGTTGGTAGACACGGGTTCCTCAATCAGCCTGCTGAAAAATGCCGTAATGGAATCAAAATTACCAATTAACAAAGAAATTTTAAAGCTGAAAGGTTTCAGTACTAGTGAAGACGTCGTCCCCACTCTCGGCTCTTTTGATCTCAAAATGTATCCTGACGACAAATCTAAAGTCTTTCTGAAACATAAATTTCACATCGTTAAAAACGTTGACTTACCTTACGATGGCATCGTTGGAAACGACTTCTTAATTAAAATGAATGGTAAAATCGATTATACCTATGAAATGCTAAAAGTCAACAATTCAAACATTCAACTATTCTTCACAGAGCCATACTTCGTAATACCAGCACGCACTGAAAAAGTAGTAGAGTGCTCCGTTTTAAATTCTGGTATAACAGAAGGCTTAATTCTCGATCAAAACCCTTCGGAAGACCTCTTAATTGCTAATTGTCTCGTTCGTGTGAAAGAAAACAACAAAGTCAATATAACAGTCGTAAATGTTTCCGAATCCCCTATAAACTTGAAAGTAAACCTCGATTTAAAACTCACCCCTGTGGACACAACCTATCAAGAACCCTCAGAGAAACCTACCTTTATTAACTTCTCTAAACCTCAAAGAAAAAATATCGATTCCGCTGCGAGAACCCGATTAGTGTTGAACTTGTTAAGAATAGACCATTTAAACGGCGAAGAAATTGAAGCCCTCTTTCAAGTCTGCTCAGACTATTCTGATATATTTCATCTCCCCGGTGAGAAACTGTCACATACCAACGCCATTAGTCATGACATCAAAACCACTTCCGAAGAACCCATACACTCTAAGACCTATCGGTTCCCAGAGATTCATAAAAAGGAAGTCAATAAGCAGATAGATCAGATGCTCGAACAAGGCATTATCGAACCTTCTGTGTCTCCCTGGTCTTCACCCATATGGGTTGTACCAAAAAAACTCGACGCATCCGGCCAACAGAAATGGCGTGTCGTAATTGACTACAGAAAACTAAACGACATCACAATCGGTGATACCTACCCTATACCCCAGATCACCGAAATCTTAGATCAACTTGGTAACAGCAAGTACTTCTCAACCCTGGACTTGGCGTCTGGATTCCATCAAATCCCTGTAAATAATCCAGAGAAAACAGCTTTCACGGTGCCTCAAGGCCATTACCAGTTCACCCGAATGCCCTTCGGACTTAAAAATGCACCTTCCACCTTCCAAAGACTAATGAATACGACTCTATCCGGCCTACAAGGCATTCGCTGCTTCGTGTACCTAGATGATGTGGTCACATATTCCTTTGATCTTCCTTCTATGGTTCAGAACCTAAGAATGATATTCCAAAGACTCAGAGAGTTCAACCTCAAACTACAACCTGATAAATGCGAATTTTTAAGGCGCGAAGTTGCCTATCTCGGTCATACTATATCCTCCGATGGAGTAAAACCTAATCCAGATAAGATCAAAGCAGTTGTCCACTTCCCAACTCCAAAATCAGCAAAGGATATAAAATCCTTCCTCGGTCTCGTCTCCTATTATCGCAGATTCATATCAGACTTTTCAAAGATTGCCAAACCTCTTACACTTCTCCTAAAAAAGGACACCCAATTTAATTGGGAAAATCAACAACAAGTCGCTTTCGATACTTTAAAACAGAAACTAACCACTGCTCCTCTCCTCTGTTACCCTGACTTCACAAAACCTTTTATACTTACCTGTGATGCTTCCAATCACGCCATTGGAGCTGTCCTATCCCAAGGTCCCATTGGTAAAGATCGCCCTGTCGCATACGCATCTCGAACCCTAAATAAAAGCGAAATAAACTATAGTACTACC